CCCCCCCCCCCCCTCCAAATACCCAACCTCTATTTTCTTCAATAATTTAATTATTTTTCTATAAATTCACACAAACCCAAATGAACTAATGTGCTGCTTTACTTTTTTACGCAAAACAACGTTGAAATTTATGATCCATAACTATAAAGAAAATACTCTTTTTTTGATTGACAAAGAAAATACTCTTTTTACAATATGAAAATAAATTAATTATTTTATTGAAATAAATGAAAATACTTTTTCTAAATCATGAAAAAAATACTCATTTTGTTGAAATGAAAGTTGGGAACATGGGAAAATTGGAAAATATTTTCCTTCATATCAAATGCACCCTAGTTCATCATTAATTACGGAGTTTGGAAACAAGAGCAAAAACCTGAAAAAAAAAAAGATTAACTAATATTAGCAAAAAAAAAAATTAAAACGCTGGAAAGAGACAAAGAATCGAACGGAGACTTGGATAAAAAGAACGGGGCAGACCAACTCTAGAAAAGACTTAAGAAGGCAAAGTAGGTCAATAAGTTAGAGATTTGGAGTTAAAATAAAAAATAATTAAATGATAAAATATAATTATAGAGTAATAAGTAAGAGCATAATTAGAAAAAAATAGGAAACAATCCCACCACACCGAATCAGTTGTTTCATAAAATGAGAATTTTAATTGTTCTGGAATGATGCATTTAACAATACAATACAATCAATTTTAAATAAACAATCAAAATAAATATTATTTTATGATAACAATACAATACGATACAATGAGTAACAACCATCCAAATAAGTTGTAAGTTGCGCTTAAATATGCTTCATAATAAGCATTTGACTCTTTCCGCAAAACCAATAACCTTTCTTTTGTCTTTTGTAAAAGAGATACCAACTGGTTGACCTTAAATAATTGGTTTAGTTGGTCAGCTTAAGGCAAAAGGTTCATGAATACACGTGTCAGTCCAATTTAGTTTGCCAACTTCGGATTTCAATTTAAATTATTTTGCTGATGAACATATTCCCCAGTCAGTTTTACAAATTTGAGTTTCTGTAAATTATTAATTAAAATTAATATGTACAAAACTATACCTTGAAATTGACACTAGTACTCACTGATAAAATATTTTAGCTAGACAGTTCATCATTATATGATTATATGACAAAAGCTACGTAAAAGGGCAAAAAATGTCCTTAACTTATTGAAAATGATTCAAAAATATCATCCGTTAATTTTTTGGTCCGCAAATATTCCTAATATTTATTTTTGGGCTCAAACTTACTCTTATATCTAATAGAAGGGCCAACAATATCCCTAACATATTGAAAATGGCTCAGAAATATCCTATGTTAACTTTTTGGTCCGCAAATACCCCTAATGTTTGTTTTTGGGCTCAAACTTAACCTTATATCTAACAGAACTAACATGGTAAATTTTTTGACTTTAACTTCGCCATGTGACATTTTTTTAATCCGCCACGTGTATTATTTGTATTAAATAAAACCCACCTGTATCTTTAAAATATCCAACGACCCTGACCCGCTCCTATATATTTGGACGGTCAGCTAAAAATAATTACATTCGCTAATTAAATATATAAAAAATATACATTGATTATATATAAAAAATATGTATATTATACATTAATATTTTAATATATATTTTACATGATATTATTTTTAGGACAAATTATACGGTGTAGTTTTCCCTTCAAATTTTGCAGATCTTAACAAGTTTAACAAATATAAATTTTAATTTACAAATATAAAAATGATAATATTCTATTTATGTGATTCTAAAGGAGAAGCAAAGAAACAGATGTAAATGAAATTATTTAAAACCTTTAATTATATACATATCAAACTGTTTAGCATATTAATTGACTTCACATGATTTTTTCAATGAGAATTAATAGTGTTTTAATATATAACGATATAGCTAAAATATTAGCAAAAAATGCCGTTCCATTGTCACATTTGCTTAATAAATTCGAGTTATAGATCATAATTAATAGGAAAAACTACACCGTATAATTTTTCCTAAAAATAATATCATATAAAATATATATTAAAATATTAATGTATAATATACATATTTTTATATATAATCAATGTATATTTTTTATATATTTAACTAGCGAATGTAATTATTTTTAGCCGACCGTCCAAATATATATGAGCGGGTCAGGGTCGTTGGATATTTTAAAAGATACGAGTGAATTTTATTTAATATAAATAATACACGTGGCGGATTAAGAAAATGCCACATTGTGAAGTTAAAGTAAAAAAATTGATCAGGTTAGTTCTGTTAGATATATGGATAAGTTTGAGCCCAAAAACAAACGTTAGGGGCATTTGCGGACCAAAAAGTTAACGGAAGATATTTCTGAGCCATTTTGAATACGTTAGGGGTATTGTTGGCCCTTCTGTTAGATATAGGGGTAAGTTTGAGCCAAAAAATAAACGTTATGAACATTTGCGGACCAAAAGGTTAACGGATGATATTTTTGAGTCATTTTCAATACGTTACGGGATTTTTGGCACTTTTCCCTCAAAGCTATAAAGAGCTAAAAATTACATTACCAAGGAGATGCAATTTTGTAATTAAATTTAATCATTCTCCACGATCTATAGTACTTCAATTTTGATTGTCCACTACGTACTACTTCTATTAACTTATTTATTTATTTATAAAAAATGAACATTTGGATAATATTGTCAAAGTTTGAGAACACCTAACATTCGGATAAATTAATACCAACTTAATTGTGAATCTTGACGACCTCTGTAGGCAGCCTGCACCACAATATTTATTAGTTTATAGACCCAATAATAATTCCTTTTACAAACATATTAAAAGAAAAATTATTGCAGGATTCGTTCAGCCTGACAAAAAAATCAAATGTTTTTTCCATTGTCAAAAAGAGAAAGAAAAAAATATTTAATGTAATCGAGACCAAGAATGCTAGTCCTTTTAATATTTTTGAACTCTCTTTTATGTCAAGTAACTTTTTCAAAAAGAATAAAGAAATTATTTATCGGGACGGACGGATGAAATTAATTCTATAAAATATAATAGAAAATGTCTTGCACGATACATCTTCAATTATATTGTATATAATAATATGTACATTAGACACAGCTAGGAAATCAGTATACTTGTCAAAAGCATGAATGATGACGAATTATTAGCAATTACCTCACATGTGTGCATTGAAAAGTAACACCCTTCGCAAATGGTAAGTTGGCAACCATATAAATCAGAAAACTAATGCTAATCAAATGCAGTCAGAGACCCCACTATGAAAGTGCATTTATAATTTATAATTTATAATTAATGTAAACGATCATCATTAACCAAATCGTTCGATCAAGAGAAATATTTATGTAATTTTTGTCGTTATATTTTCTCAAAAGCAAGCTCGAAAGTATTGTTAGGGTTTTTGCTCTAATTTTCTTACCATATGAGTTTTACTTTTCTCTTAAAGTAAAGTCAAAGTATTATTATAATTATTTTTAGGAAAATATAATTCTCTTCCATATTTGGTTATTCCGTATTCTCACAACTAGAAGATACAATAGCATCCACAATGTAGCCGTTTAAAGAATTTTGTTTGGAGGAGGGGATTTTCTCTCAATAGGATCTTATATTTTCTTTTCATACGTAGGTTAATTGACCAAACCATATTTGATATTCTTATGCATATTTTAGTATATTTTTCTTTATGTTTAATTTATCGCCGTCCAAGGTTTGCCAATTGCAACTATTAACTTCCGCATGATGCCCTGTTATTTTCGATCCCAACAAGTATTTGTCAATGATAATTCGCTGAAAATTAAACATAATACAAGGTTTGCGCTAATGGAACTTATAATTAATCCTGCTTACGTACTCCAAGTCCAGCTCCCATTATGGCGCCCTCAGAAATAATACACTTTTTAACATACATAGAAAATTAAAAAGGATGGCCAACGCTCATTATGTTAGTTCACATAAATTAACTATACTATGATTTACGAGATTAAATTTTATGTACCGACTATTTTATACAATCAAGTCATTTAAACAGTAATTACATATAATTCTATTTTAATAAGCATTGATTGCTGATATGTAACCTGCAATAAACCGTTAAAACTATATTATTAATATAAAAATTATTTGCATTGTCAATATATATAGTTTAAATTCGTCGTTTATTACTCGAGCGTTCGTTCGTTGGTCGGGGACGTTGAATACAAAGAAGTCGTCACCATTTTGCAATTTAATACAAGCCATATTCTATTACCTTCAAATTAACAAATGTTGGCTTTCCTTCGTTGACAATTTCAAGTATTATTCGGGACTGAATCTATTTGGCCAGTGAACAACCTATATGGCCAAAATTTTATCCCTTTCTGAGGCATTATCTGTTTCCCCGTCCTTTTTATGGCCTTTGCTATCTTCATCATTAGTAACACTTCTCCAAATAAGCTAAAGGTCAGTTAGCTCTCAATAGACTTTTTCCCCTTAGTTGAATTCTACAAAAGGATATGAACAATCCAACTAGGAGAAAAATGAGGTTTATGCTCAATTTAGCTTATGATAGAGGTTGAAACCAAAATAGAAATTTTTTCTTCTTCTGTTCTTAAATCCTTTTTTCTTTGTTTGAAAGTGCAAAGAATATTTATTAGTTGTTTGTTTTTATATATATAGAGAGAGGGAATGAATAGTGAAATGGGAAAGGGAAAAGAGAAGCAGTCCAACTCATCTATACTTAAGAAGTTGGAGAAATATCTATCAATGAATAAATTTAGTGGAGCCATTTTGTCAAAGAGCAAATCATGGCACGGCAGCACAACAAATATTAAGAGCAAAGTAGCCCCAGAGGGCTGTTTTTGGGTGTATGTTGGGCCAGAGAAAGAGAGGTTTGTGATAAAGACAAAGTATGCAAACCATCCAATGTTCAAGATGTTGCTTGAAGATGCTGAAAAAGAGTATGGTTATAATTATAGCCAAGGCCCTATTTTGTTACCTTGTGATGTTGATCACTTCTACAAAGTGTTGGCTGAAATTGGTAGCAGTAAACAGATTCAATCTTCAGGGTGTGGATCATGTAGTCCCTTATTTAGTCCTGGTAGGCGTTTGGGTAATAGCCAAATGGCCAAAGGTTATGGTTCTTATAGGGTTCTTACTCCACCAAGATTGCTCAAGCTCAACTCTATTCATTAGCAGGATCCCAGGGTCTAGCCTGAAGTCAGTATAAACTATAAGAAATCATAATTCACATTTAGATAAATATTAGTTGAGGTGTGTGCAAGTTGACTCGAAATCATTGCTATATAAAAAAATATATATATGTTAATAGCAATATTTGTTTAGAAATCTCTTTTTTTCTTTGTTTTTAGGTTTCTCTTGGTACGTGGAGTTTGTAAACCGCAGTTGTTTGTGAGATACACCTGTGGAATCAATTATATCCACGGGTTAGTTTTCAGTTTAATTGTATATGCAGTAGCTAAGGGCAGTGTTTTACTGTTTTGTTTGAAGATAAAAGCTCATACCTTGTACTATTATTACCCACTATAATTAGTACTTTCTTTCGTACTCCCTTTTGCTATCTTGTTTCGTTTTCTAAATACTTTGTATAGCTATTACTTGCTATTAATGCTTCTTCCATTCTTTTTTAAGCTAGAGTCTATCGAAAACAATCTCTCTGCCCATCCAGGTTAGGGGTAAGGTTGCGTACATCTTACCTTCCCCGGACCCTATGTAACGATCCGACCTGTCGTTCCGAAAGTTGTAGCCCCGTTTTTTCCATTTCTGCTTATTTATGTGTTGTTCAGTTATGTTGAATTGTATCGAGTTGGTAGGTTTGGGTTCAGAGTAGTTTTGGAGTGAAATGAGACACTTAGTCTCTTAGTTAGAAAGCTAAGTTAGAAAAGTCAACCGGAAGTTGACTTCTGAGTAAACGAGTTCGGACTTGGATTTTTATGATTCGGTTAGCTTCGTTGGGTGATTTTAGACTTAGGAGTGTATCCGAAATGTAATTTGGAGGTCAGTGGTAGAATTAGGTTTGAATTGGCGAAAGTTAGAAATTTGGCGATTTTGGCCGGCAGTGAAAAATTAGGTATCGGGGTCGGAATGGAACTCCAGAAGTTGGAGTAGGTTCGTAGTGTCATTTGTGACGTGTGTGCATAATTTGAGTTAGTTTCGAGTTGATTTGATATGTTTCGGCGCGAGTTTTTGGAAGTCGAAAGTTCATTTAGTTTGTTTTGAGACGCGTTTCGTCGTTTAAATGTTGTTATGCATGATTTGAGGCCTTGAGTTGGTATGCGTTATGTTATGGGACCTGTTAGTATGTTCGTACGGGATCTCGATGAGTTCGGGTAAGTTTCAGATAAGTTTGGACTGCGTTGTGCTCGTTTTTCTTATGTTTCGACGTCATTTCTTCCAGCAAAAATGGTACCACATTAAGCAAATGAGCTCCGATATCTATTTTGATTGAAGCATTAGATCCGTATCATAATTACGGAGCCATAGAAAAAAGCATCATCGAATTTGAGCATCGTATGAGGAATTTATGGTCATTTTACAAAAAAAATGGGTTGCCAAATTTTTCAGAATAATTACGAAATTGTCACCGAATTCGTAATTAAAAATCTGCACCATTTGAAAATATTAAAACCAACATATCTCATTCATTATAAGGTCAAATTGAGTGATTCAAAAGCCTAACTTGACTAGAATTTCACAAGGAATCCATTGGAGGCATAAAAAACGAGTTTCAGGATCGTTTGACATGAGAAGCGAGGCAGAATAACTGGCAAAAAAATATATAAAATGAGGGTTTGTTCATTCGGTCATATTTTGAGTTGGGGAGCTCGGATTTGGGCGATTTTGGGGGCGATTTTCACCATAAGGATTGGGGTAAGTGTTCTATACTCAATTTTAATTATATTTCATGAATCCATCTTCGTTTTTGGGATTTGATTGATGATTTCAAAGTGAAATTGAGGGAGTTAGGGTTTGAGTTTTGGAGAGTTTAAGTGAAGATTTGAGGGACCAAATGGAGTCCGATTTTAATGAATTTATATGGTTAGACTCGGGAGAGGACGAGGTTTATTATTCTGTCATTTTTGACTAATTTCGAGACGTGGGTCGGGTTTTTACCGATTTCGGATTTTTAGCATATTTATGTAGTTTTTATTATGGAATTCGGTTATTTAGACTATGTTGATAGTAGTATTCTGATTTTTGGTTAGATTCGGAGCTTTTGGAGACCGAGTCCAGAGACGAGGGCATCCCGGAATAGGATTTTACGTTGTTAAGGTAAGTAACAATTTTAACTCTGGCTTTGATGGTATAACCCGGAGAATTTGATATCGTGTGACTGTTTGGAGGTGATACCCACGCGGTGACGGGCGTGTGGGTGTATACCTCGAGGGATTGAGACTTGGTCCGTCTCGTGAGGCCTCATGGTCATCATCTGAGTTTACGTAGTTACTTGTTGTTGAACTTGTCCGCCTTTATGTTAGAGATCATGCTTAGGCTTTATTCATGCTCACATTATTTGTACTCAGTCATAGAAATTATTGTACATGTTTACCTCAGTCTCTATTATTTGCTAATATGTTGTGATACTTGATGTGGGCTGTGTTCCCTTATTTGTTGATGATGGCGAGGCTAGTGAGGTACATGATTGAGTGAGGTCGGTGGCCTGGTTGTGAGGATATTAATACCATAGCGCGTGAGTTGTCTGCGTAGCAGCGAATGACAGCATTATGCCCAACCCAACCGCCTTAAGTAGAGGGCCACTACCCCTTCCCTTCCCAGGAGCGCATCTATAGAATAAAGAGAGCACGCAAGTGAGTTGACTGTGCGGGTCCAGGTATTGATACCATAGCGCGTGAGTTATCCGCGTAGCACGTGAGTTGACCGTGCAGATTCAGGTATTGATATGATGGCACGTGAGTTGTCTGTGCTTAGCTCTTGGGCTTTGGGAGCCCCTCCGAAGTCTGTACACACCCCCAGTGAGCGCAGAGTGTTGAGCGTTGAGTGCTGAGTGTGAGTGTTGAGTGATGGAGTGACATTGCTGTGAGGTTGTATTTACTTTTGATGTTGCTGCATTTACCTGTTAATTTTCCTTGTAGTTTTACTGATTTATGAAATTACCTGTCTATTACTGTTTGTACTTAATTGTGAAAATAATAATTGGATTATTCTGCTTAGCTCATCACTACTGCTCAGTTCCTTAGTTATTTCTGTTACTACAGAGTCGGTTGTACTCATACTACACCGTGCACTTTATGTGTAGATCCAGGTGAGTTAGAACTTAGAAGGCGGCGATCGTTGAGTTCAGGCCGGCTATCTTTGGAGACTGCAAGGTAACTGTTAGCGTCCGCATGACCTTGTTACTCCTTTTATCATTCTTCTTTTGAGACTGTATTGACAGTTAGACAGTTATATATCCTAGTTCATAGTTTTAGATGCTCATGACTTAGTAACACCCCGATATTTGGGGCTCGTTTCCGTATTTTCTATAATTATATTTAGAATTGATTTAGTTTATGGAAAAAAAATTCAAATATTTTATTAAATTTTTATAATCGATTTAGTAGTAATACTTTGGAAAATAGGCTTGCCTTGTAACACGATAGGCGCCATCACGACCATGGTTAGATTTTGCGTTGTGACACCCTACTTGAGGGATTACACTAGGTTGTTGTTCGAAGATAAAAGCCGACTAAAGAAAGCAGTTCCTTCACCAACTTTAATTTGATCTTATATACATATTAAGAGGTGACAAATGGGCGGGTCAGATCAAATATGGGCATGTCGAAAATGGATAATGCAAAAAATGGATAAATTATCCGATCCAACCCATATTTAATACGGATAAAAAACGGGTTAGCTGACGGATAATATGGATATCTATATTATCCATGGCTTTTTGAATATGATCACTTTTGGAAGAATTCCTAGTCTCCCAAACTTGAGGAACCCCCAATTTGAGGTTTTACAAATATAAAAGTTAAATTCATTAGTTATCCATTAATTATTCATTTTCTAAGTGGATAATGTGGTTATTATCCATATTTGACCCGTTTATTATCCAATCCATTTTTAATGAATAATATGGGTGGATCAAATTTTTTTAAAAACCATTTTACCGCCGCTAAGGCATATTATGGAAGAGATGTAAAGATGCTTACATGCAGAAAATTGCATGTGATTTATGAGTCTCAAAATATACTGTGCAACAAATAATAAATGGTGTTTGGTTAATTTTCCTACCTCTTTTCTGTATGTTTGAGGTGTCTATTCGACAAGTCTTCTATTTTTTTCCTTCACTTGCATATAGAAAGTCTTTTTTTTTTACGTAGTGTAAGAAATAATTTTCCCTTAGGCAGATGGCCACTTTATTTAATTTCACCTACGCATCTATCAATCAACTGATTCTGAAATTATCATAAGCGCATGCACTCAAGGTTAATATAATTACATTCTCAAACCTGCTAAAATTAACCAAAGTTTGCTACGTGTTAAGGAAGACATTTCTTGAGTCAGATTTTTACACCTAGTTTTGATTATATCCCTTTTTTCACAGTAGTTAGACATTTTAGAGAGGAAGTAATTGTTATTTGTTACTTTGTTAGGTGCATGAAATGTAATGAGCCAACTAGCTAGCCACGAGGTACTATATAGAAAACAGTCTAGTAGTGTTTATTTAAACAGGATTGGGTGGTCTGAGTCAACAGAAATGGCTATATATTTGCTACCATATTAATGCAATTGACAACTAAAGGGGACAAAAGATAGTGAGAGTGAGAGGGCATAGGTGATAACTTTTGAATTTTGATAATAAACATATAAAAGGACTCTCATGCTCTTTCGCCCAAATTCAAATTGTGTCTTTTGGTGGTCCTTTAACATCAATATTTGGTGGACCAAATAGATGAGACCCATAAGCTTTGAAATAATTAATGCACACCATATTTGTCAATTTGCACGTCCTTCTGTACATATATAATTGCAATCTACACAATCTTTTATTTAGACACCCTCGAATATAGTAGTACTAATAGTTTTGGAGATTGATTGAGTCCGTTTGGATTGACCTAAAAAAAAAAGCGGTTTTTTAGTAGAAATAACTTTTAATCCAAAAAGTAATAAGTTGGGGTTGCCCAACTTATTGTTTTTGGCTTGTTTTGAATATTTTTTAACTTATTTTA